AACTAAAATGTGGATACTACTACCCAAGATGATATGACTATGTTATACAAAAACAACTTTGATGTTATTGTATGACACTCTCCTTCCATGTCTTAGAAAGCTAAGAAATAAAGTCTGAAAATCACCCATTTCCTACTCCCCCATGATAAACTTTCCTCTCTCAGAGCTTCTATGATGCTTCTGTCTATTCTACATGCTGCAAACTGAAGTCAATGTTCTGGGGGTAGGGTTCTAGGACTTCCCAATGGTGATAGAACACAGCTATACAAATAGTCTGAGATTGAATGGCAACATTATCCCATGGGTGACTTCACTTTGCAATGACTCCCCCCTGTACTTTTAGTGATTGAGTCTTTAATGGGTAGCTGAAAGCATCTTGGTGCTACATTGTTTTTCCCTAAAATTGTGGTATTTCTCAGAGTGTTCCTGTGTCATTACTTCAGAACGATCACTGGTGTCTGATCCTAACTATTCATTGGAGTTTTAAGTGTTGGATAATGCCAGAGAGATGTGGATCTCCCTTAGAAAGGGCATGTATACCTGTGTTGCTCAGTTATATGTTCTCTGTACACAGACCTACCAACTCCGTAACAGTTTTTCATGTAAATCAATACTACCTCTAATGCTTATTAATCCTTACTCGTTTTGCTAAACAAACATATTTTGTAAAAATCACTGCCTTCAAGCCTTAATATCTGTGCTCATCACTGTTTTAAAAATGTTTAACAAAAATTTCATATAAGAGAAAAATCAGGGGCTGGAGAGATGGCTCAGAGGTTAAGAGCACTGGCTACTCTTCCAGACTATTTGTATAACAGCTGTGTTCAATTCCTAGCAACCACATGGTGTCTCACAACCATCTATAATGAGAATTGGTGCCCTCTTCTGGTGTGTAGGCATACATGCAGGCAGAACACTGTATACATAATAAATAAATAAATCTTAAAAAAAAAAAAAAAGAAAGAAAGAAATCCTGCATGTTTAAAAAAAGAGAGAGAGAGAGAGAAATCAGACGTAATGTTCTGCAGGAAACTTCAGTTCTTCCTTCAGAGGTTTTATGCTGATGACTGACAATCTATAGCCATCTTCATGAACCTTTCCAGTTACCACAAGCTGTGCAACAATGTTAACCTTACATGACAAACATTTGTTTATCCTGCCACATACTTATGATTCTTTTTTTTTTTTGAAACCCCACTGGCAGTTTCTTTCTTTCTTTCTTTCTTTCTTTCTTTCTTTCTTTCTTTCTTTCTTTCTTTCTTTCTTTCTTTCTTTCTTTCTTTCTTTCTTCTATTTCATAATGAACTCAATTTCACACATCATCCATGGATTCCCCCTGTCCCTCCTCCTTCCCTCCCTGCCCCCCCCCCAATTCATACCCCATTCCTACCTCCTCCTAGGTAGGTCTCCCCTGGGGAGTCAGTCCAGCCTGGTAGACTCCCGGTACAGTCTCCTCCTCCCTTCACTAAGCTAGGGAAAGTGTCCCAGCATTTGCCCCAGGCTTCATAGAGCCAGCCCATATAACAAGGACAGGTCCTGGCTCCACTGCCTGGGGGCCTTCCAAACAGTTCAAGCTAATCAAATGTCTCACTTATTCAGAGGGCCCGGTCCAGATCCATGGGGGCTCCTCAGCCATTGGTTCACAGTTCACGTGTTTTCACTCATTTGGCTATTTGTCCCTGTGCTTTTTCCAATCATGGTCTCAGTATCTCTTACTCATATAATCCCTCCTATCTCTTGCCAATTGGACTCCTGGAGCTCCACCTGGGGCTCTGCCATGGATCTCTGTGTCTGCTTCCATCAGACACTGGATGGGAGTTCTATCATGACAGCCAGGGTGTGTGGCTATATGATTACCAGAGCAGGTCAGCTCAGGCACACTCTTGAGCATTGCCTCCACCTCCAGCTTGCTCCTGTAGATCTCATCCATTTCTCTGTCATTGGATGATCCCTGTGTCTTTCTTAGGGTCCTCTTTACTAGGTAGGCTCCCTGGAATTATGAGTTGCAGTCTGGTTATCCTTTGCTTTACAACTAGTATCCACTTATGAGTGAGTATTTATCATGTTAGTCTTTCTGATTCTGGGTTACCTCACTCAGGATGATATTTTCTAGTTCCACCCATTTGCTTGCAAACCTCATTATGTCACTGTTTTTCTCTGCTGAGTAGTACTCCATTGTATATATGTACCACATTTTATTTATCCATTCTTCAGTTGAAGGGCATCTAGGTTGTTTCCAGGTTCTGGCTATTACAAATAATGCTGCTATGAACATAGTTGAGCATGTGTCCTTGTGGTATGATTGAGCATTCCATGGGTATATGCCCAAGAGTGGTATAACTAGGTCTTGAGGGAGGGTGATTCCCAATTTTCTAAGAAAGGGCCATATTGATTTCCAAACTGGCTGGACAAGTTTGCATTCCCACCAACAGTAGAGGAGTGTTCTTTGCTTTGTCTTGATGAATAAGAGATTCAGAAACAAATCAATCACACAGTCACTGAGTATTTTGACTATAGGTCTTTCCCTATAGGACATCTAGTTTTATCTTCCTGTAAGGTAATCTTATGGAAGGGATTAATTCTCAAGTGTCTTGAGTGCTTGAATTATTCTGGTCAACATATTAAATATTACTTACTTTTATTTGCTTTCTCCATACTTATCTCACTCTACACTTCATACAATGAACAAATATTATCCATGAAATTTTGTCAGTTTGAAAAACAACTC